ACATACAAGCCGGGAGGTTGGTTGCCGATCCGCTCCGCTCAAAAACAAGCAACATGTTTTTGGATGTTTCTATGGTGTGACGTAAACGTGAAGCTAACATCGGTTTACAACTAAATGAGCCTGTATACGAAGTTCGCAAACACCATTCAGTCTTTAGAAGTGACTTACTTTATTACTACCGGATTCTGCCTTAAATTCGCCCAGGGCCGTTGAACGGCAGTTCAGGTTTTTAAATAAAAAAAATTGTAACCAAGAAACTGTTTTTTCGGCAGTTTTTTACGGTGTTACTTGAATCTTTTCTGATGCCTAAAAGTTTCGCCGTAGTCATTGACCAGAGTATTCATGTTTATTGCGACTAGCGGTGAATGAGTAGCTTCGTTTTGACAATGAGTTGTTATCGCTGTAAATAATGTTAAATTATTCTTCAAATGCTCAGTTTATCTTTTGAAAACAACTAATTTTGTTATTTAAAAACAAATCATGCCGCTTTCCCATCAAAACCCAAGCCAAAAGATCTCTTCCATGTGGGGTTCAATAACATTAACATATTTAAATGTACATTGTATTATGGTAATTTGAACACGTTGGCATCATCCATCGTTTTCATTGAATAATTATCGATTTGACCTGTCAGGTCAGGTCATTAAAATGAAACAAAATAATTGTATTTGGTGCACGATGTTCGTTAATGTGATTTTTTTGGAGAAAGATGCGCTGTCTACTTATTAATCCAGCTAGAAAAAAATGTATACAATTTTAGTTTCTTTCGTTTTGGGTTGTCCAACTGCCGGTGTTGAAAGTCGGCGTAGGTGGATTTTTCAATGAAAATATAAGCCCCCTAAAAATATTTGATGATATTTTTTTTTAAATTTGAACCCCAAATAAGGCCTACCAGCCGTGAACCGCCCAGGGTGATTTTTCGAATGGGCGAATTTATGGCAGAATCCGGTAGGACGTATTCTGCTGTTGCATTTATTATTTCCACAGTCCCTCTATCCGGGACTGTGTTATTTCCAACAGTTTTGCAATAGTATTTTCTAGAATGAAGGCAGCATTTACAGTTCATTCAAAGTTCAAAGTTGCGTTGGGATTACGTTGATACAGTGTAACAATGTCAGCGCCGGAGATCTCCTACCAGTGCGCAACGTAGCCAAAATAAAAAGCATGGTCATTTGAACATTGCTATTACAAAACTGGTAGGAGGTAATACATTTGGGGCGAACGTATTCAAAAATCAGTTTTTGCATTTTGCAATGGCAGTGGTGGGCCAGGATTGTTTCCCAATTAGTGACGGTATGACCTACCTGTTAAGTATGAACAAAAAATCAGCCAAGACTGCAAAGACTCCCATTGTGTGCTTCGCACACGGGAGTCAAAAACTACATAACAATCACTTTACCTAGGTCTGGTACAGCAATAGCTACATGGTTCAATTTTCCAAGATTCCAAGCGGCTTTGATGCCAGCACTTGTACAAATAGAAGATTGGTTGACATAGACAGCCTGTAGACAAAATCAAGCATTAGATCATCATTAATTGTGAATCAAAAATGGCTTAAAATCAACTCTCAAGTGTGATTATTGGAGGCATAGTTAAAATTAATTTAAAATTCAAGATTAGCCTTACAAACAAGAAGCTTGGCGACTAATATTGGTCTGCTGTTTGAATTAGAATGTAATGATTAATTCTTAAAATAATCAGTCGTAAAGCTGAAAACTAAATTATTTTACAAATTAATTAATTAGTACTGATGTTTATCCAAGGTTGTCGCATTGTCTTAGAGCATTTATGAATCTAGATTTATTGAAATAAGATTAGTATTTGAGATATCAATGGAAAAGATACAAAATAATTATTATGCAAATTAGATAATTAATATGCTTAGATTAGTATGTCTGCAAATGTCACAGAGCATGTGAAGTTTCATTGAAATGTGATTAATATTTTTGAGATATCAGTGGAAAAGTCCAAAATTAAACTAATTATTATGCACAATAGGTAATTAATATGCATGAATTTCAACTCAAAACTTATCAGGTCTGTACAGTATTTTAGAGCATACATGTATATGTACCAAGTTTCATTGAAAAGTGATGATTAGTGATTGATTAATTATTATCCAAATTACCAGTAAGTAATTATCGGCAAGAATTTTAACCCAAAACTGATCTGGTCTGTGCATTTGCCTAGAGCATCTATGTACCAAGTTTTATTAAAATGTGATGATTAGTACTTCAGTAAACTTGCTATGTGAATGGTACAGGGATGCAGCAAAGGCACAAGAAAAGAAGAACTTTTTTTGCACAGTCACCAACTTGGTGTCAGAATTGTAATGCTCAAAACACTAATTCAATAAATACCTTAAAAACAACAGCGAATATGTGAACGACGGGGATAGTTTATTTATCAGATTTACCAGGGTAATAAATATCGCTTTTAGAATTGGCACTCAAAGTCAAGAAAAATGCAATTAACTATTAATTAAAGCAAGTGTACTTTGTCGGTATGGTTTTATATTTCAAGGCAGAATTTCATGCGTGTCAGTTTTACTTGTAGAAGACTCTGTAGAAGTAATTATAAAAATATTTAGTTGTAGAAACAAAAAAAGTAGTCATGTAATTCTTTTAAAGAAGGCAAAAACACACAAATCCTCCAGCCTTAAGGACAGACTGGAGTTTTACATTTTTTAAAGAAATTTTTGTATGGCAAATATTGCATGTCACTCATAATCACACAGTCAGCCACTGAACTAAAACAGGGTAATATTAATCCATGAGGTCTTGACTCACAACCGCTCCATTAAGTTACTTTTTTTATAAATATTCACCAACTACTACACTGGATTTCATGAAGGCAAGAATTTGTTTTATATAAAATGTTTATAAATTTCAAATGGCGATGAAACCCACTTGGCCAATCACAAAGCTTTAGTGGAAGAATACCAACTCCACTGCAGTCAGTTAACTTTTAACCTCTCTTGTTACTCGCTTGCTTTCGCAATTTAACGTTCTGTGCCAAAAGTTAATGGTATTAATGTACTTGAATTATTTCATATTTATTTCAGTGACCAAAAGCTATAATTTTAAACATTTTAAACAAATTTGAAGAAATTTCCTTTGCATTCATGGCAGTAAATTAATTGAATAAACCTATCAAAGCCTCATTGGTAATGCGCCTTACTGAATAATTCTATCGCCAATGATAGCATTTTCTTAGGATTTGATTGAAGCACGAAGATCTTTCACAATAAATGTTTTATAAATATTTATAAATGCTCTTAAAACAAATTCACATTCATATAACCCGGTGTAATCTTAGCTCATGTCATTTTATTTATTAATTTGAATGATTACCACATTTTTACATAAATATCAATATGAATCAACATAATAAATAAAAATATATATAATTGTTCGTGATTTGATGCAGGAAAATATGAACACTGATACTATTACTGTCATCACGAGAATATATTCCGATTTATAATGTTACAATTTACATATTCGCTGTTTTGCTAACATTGCTATAAATTGAGCAGTATTGCTTATCAATTAATCAAGCTAAAACAAAAAAAAAATATTGCAGCAAGGTATAATCCATATCGGAATTTAATTGTAATAGTTTTACTATAGTTGTAATATATTTGTAGTAATAATTAATTTTATCTTACTGAAACACAAATTGACATTAAATTGATTGTGTGTTACATCACCCAAAATTATCAAGTTGTGTTAACTTCATGGAGAACGGAATGGGAAAAATTCAAAGCAATTTGACATTATGCATGGTGTCTAGTTTTTCCGAGCAGAAAACTATTGATTTCACCCTATGTGCATTTATTACTTTTACAATTTACATGTTTCCGGCGAACAACTTCTTGCTTTCACTCGAATGTATAATCTGTGTAGTGTTTCTGCAGTTCAAGCAGACGAGTCCAGCAGTGATTCACTCGGGGCGATTTGGGCATGTTTAGTGTAATACGATACACCGCTTAGCCTAGGATAATAAAACATTGTTGCAATATTTTGTTTTACTGATAGATGTATAGCGATATTGTTAGCAAAACACCAAAGCAAACTGCAACTTTGCCTAGCGGATTATTTTCGCGATGACAGTATTAAAAAACAGGTCATTGACACAAAGGCCCAATTTCACGTAGTCTGCCAATTACAGATAAAGAAATAGTCGTGAACTGACGGCTTGTAGCGATTCTGTAGCGGTTAACACTCTGTAATATGTACAGCATATACTACACATGTACTCACCGAACTCCTAACAAAGGTTCTACACGCAGTACGCAGAAAGAAAGCCATATCTCACAATTCAAGTTTGCAGCTTGTCTTGACAATTTTGTAACTTATACGCAGGGTCAAATGAGGTCATGTAAATTGATTCCCTAAGTATGGTGAAATAATTAAAACCTGAAGTTTACCTGAAATCAAACTCAAATGGACAACAATATAAAGATGTATATCTGTACACGTTTTATTCTTCTGAATCATTTGTATTCATAAAATTTCCAGAAATATGGCTTTTTTTTTTAATAAAAAATTAATACAATGGCTTTTACTTTTATTTACATTCATAGAGGGCTTTCCCAGGTCAGTCTCGTTCATTCACACGTGCAGAGAATCAACAACCTACACGGCCCAGGTCCCAAAATAAGACGAAAATTCCTTTTCAATTTACTGTTCATTGTCACAGTATTTTAGGTATGTATTTTTTGTAATAGTTTATAAATTTGCAAACAACACTTGCTTACTCTCATTTCCAAGTAGATTCTTGAGATACACCACATTTTTTTTAGTAATCGTGGTTATACATAAAATAGTGCATTATAGATCAAGACGATCACTACTTGACCTTTCCTAAAAGTTGCGCCCCCTAGCGACGAAGAGTTTGCATGACGTAATAGGAAAGGCGCTTTCGCTGTTGAATTTTAAATTCAATTTCTAATTTTCTTTGTTATGAAACAGTGGACGTGATGGGAAAGAATGGGTGTGAAACTAAGTTGTGATTCTCGTCCATTTTCATCTATTGTCTTTCATTGTTTTTCTTAGCCATTTACTAGCTTGTTCAGTCACTTGTATGGACAAGTATGTTAGTATAACTGTACCCCACCTGAATTTGGTGTTTGCAAAATCCATGTATGATGTTATGACTAATTAAATGACTCAGACTCAGACAGTGTTACTGAGAGAACACCATGTTTATTACAAGTGCACGCAAAGCATTGTGGGTTACATCAAGTGACCTTTGACATTAATAATGATGTAATCTAAAAGTATCCTACTAATATATGAAGTTGAATAAGCGACACATTGTTTTCTGATACATATACTATTTTTCATTTTTTAATTTGCACTAGACCTGACTGACTGTGTAATTTTAGTTTTAGTATGACTACCATTCCACCATCCAAGTCAACCTGGGTGGGAGAAACAGACAGCTGTAAAAGTGGTAATCCTAAGGAGTTATTCGTTGGAGGAATTGATGACCTAAGGAGGCTTGATGGATTCATTCCTAATTCACCTAGGGGCTCTCATCTCCATAGAGCTCTGATGAAGTTTGATGTCTCTATGGTAACTGATCCACAAAAACTGAAATCTGCAACACTTGTGATGGACATAGAGAAGCATACCCATGGTTTTCAGGATACTCCAGGTTTGGTGACTATTTGGCCAATCAAGTCGCAGTGGGAAGTGGCTGCACTTACCTGGAAGTCTGCAGAGAATTTGGTGAAAGGTGATCAAGAAGGCTGGCCAGTGAAACTTCCAGAAGAAAACCCGTCTGTCTGGAAAATCGAAGTCACTGGACTTGTTAGAGAATGGCTCAAATCACCAAGTAGTAATCATGGCATTATGTTTATGAACGCAGATGGCAAAAGTGAAAAAGAAATTAGAAATTTTAATTTCATAATGATGAGGCAACCTCAGTTAAATGTGGTACTTGATAATGAAATGTAATTGCTAATGCGATTAATCTTTAATCTAAAGGCATCACCTCAATATTGTCATGTGTATTTACTGTAAAGGGGGTAATTATTCACTGTGTTTTAATTTAGCTTATTTCGTTGACTGGAAAAATGCGCTAAATTAAAACAACAGTGAATATGTAAAATTTAGCATAGAACACATCTAAATGACAAAACCGTGAATTTAAAACCCACTAAATATGCCTGAAATGGTAAATCAGTGAAAATTAGTCATTTTACAGTACTGTATCCGAGACATCTTTCTGTGAAGTATAGATTTAAATGTATATTAAGTAGAAATCCTAGTCACTAATTATGGTACACGATCATAGATGACCCAATAACATACACAAATAATGCCAGGTGATAGTCTGTCAGATAAAGCAATCTGTTTGAATGTTAAATCGCAACTCCACTGTAAAATACATGTAATATACATGTATAATGTGTGCAAGGTCTTCAATTGTAGAACCGCTACTCCCATGTATATAGTGTGTATTTGAAACGCAACAACTACTGTAAAATACTTTATTTTCGCTTGGAATTTATTTTCGCTGAAGGGATGATTCCGTGAAAATAAAATCCAGCAAATATACTTTTTTTCCTATATTTCACATTAAACTCATCAAAAATCAGTGAAAATAAATTGCATACAAAACGCCCAAAATGCCTTTTCAGCGAAAATTAATTCCAGCGAAAATAAAGTATTCCACAGTAATTGCACAGCACAATAGATTAGACCATTACCATTACACACTGTTCATCAACCATACTTCATATATTCTATTATTTGGCTCGTCACATTCCATGTACATTTTTTTTTATTTTTCTGTTTTGGACCAAACATACAAAGATTTACTTGTGACTTGTACAATACCATATTTTGTTATTGACAATAACTGTGTGTGTATGTTTTATCAGTATCATTTAATACTCACAAATCAGTATCTAGTAACCCTCCTTAACTATGTCATCAGAGTGGTGTCTTGATACTGTGGATTATTATCAAGTGCAATATTTTTATTTTTTGTTTTCTTTGTTATCACTGTTCCTCCAGGAATGTGTGTATTTCTAAATACTGTAAAATACTTTATTTTTACTTGGAATTGATTTTTGCTATTTTTGCTGACTGAATGATTCAGTAAAAATAGAATCTAGCGAATATACCTTTTTTCCTGTATTTTACATTCAACTCATCAAAAATCAGTGAAAATAATTTTCATACAAAACATCCAAAATGTCTTATCAGTGAAAATTAATTCCAGCTAAAATATTATAAAGTATTTTACAGTAAATAAATCTGTGAATGAACAAATTCTATGCTCCGAAAAAAAAAAATTTGTTTTTGTATTCCATACAATATGTATATAACCTCATATTTTGCACTATTATCAGTTTGTTAGTTTTATGATCCCCTATCTATCTACGGTAACTCGCATTGGTCTTTAATTTAGCTTGTCTATTTGGTGTATGTTTTACATTACAAAATGTACATGAAGATTAATATTTTTTTTTTTTATCCAAACTATGCACAACTTTCACATATCATTAGGGACGACGTCAAAAGATCGATGTCGGATAAAAAACTTATTTCCTTTAGTTTGGGGGTGGGGGGGTTGACCTCAAAAAGTTTCCATTCTACAAAAACGATTTTATTTTTTAATGAAGTCAAAAAAATCTCGGAGTATTTGTAGTTCGTTTTTTTTCTATCCAATCATGGACAGAAATAACCGAAAAGGGGAAAAAAAACAGAAAAATGGTT